CCCTCCCCGCCGGCACCGCCTTCCCCCCGGGACACGCGGCAAAGTCTGGGCCCCGAGCCCATTGCGGCGAAGGGGGAAGCGCGCCCCCCACTAGGGTTCGCGCCCGAGACTCGCTCATGCACCCCCTGAAACGCTGTCCAGAGACATGCACGCCCGTGGAGTGGGGATAGGACAGCGGGGTTATCCGCGGACAGGGCCTGAGAGCTGTTCGTTCCCGCTTTGCTGGGAATATTGGAGGAGGCGGGGAGAGGGACGCGAATCTGTTGGAATCCTGGAGTGACCCCTGGCCTCTCCCCCTGCACACACACGCACACACACAGACACGCATACGCACGCACGCGCGTCCTCGCTCACGCAGACGCGGCTCGCCCAAGTTCACGAGCTCCCAGTGGTGGCTGAGCGCCCCCTAGTGACCATCGTCTGCACACCTCGTGGGCTCCAAGAGGGACAGGGTTTGGGAAGGGGGCAGGCGCTGTGCGCTTCCGAAAACCCCCACCTCTGACGCCCTATAGGGCTGCGTGCTTGGGACTAGAATGGTCTCTTGGGCAGGAGCCCAGTGCTGCGTGCAGGAGGGCCCCACGTGCTTATCTGGAGCCCTTATCTGGCCTGCAGACATCAGAGGAGCTGGATCCTGGGGTGAATGGGGTCTTTAGGAGCTGTCCAGGGAAGCTTCCCTGGGGAGGAGAATTTGGCAGAGTTTGTGGCGCTGAGAACGGGAAGCTGTGAGGTTCTGGGGTTAGTCAGCGACTCGGAGGGGAAGAGGACCTGTTGGAGCCCACGTATGCACCGCGGAGTCTGGCAGAGCCCCGGGCAGAGGCAGCTGGGCAGACAGAGGCCCTTGTTCCTGCTCGCCATCCTACCCACAAATGTTGCCAGGGAGCCGAAGCCAGGGGGCTGGTGGGGGCGGAGGGAGGCCAGGGCTGGAGTAATGATTCAAAGCTATCCCCATCACTCAGGAACGTCCGCAGGCCGGCTGCCCAGAGCTCCCACCAGGCAGAGCGCCAAGGCCCATGTGCCCCAGCCCTGGCTCAGCTCATCTTCTGAACAGAACTGGGGGGTCTCTCTAGCCACCCCGCGCCCCTTGCCCTCAGAAGTCCTGGCCCCTCCTCCAGGTTTGCACTCCTTTCCCTGTCCCCTCCCTTACCTCCAAGCTCCCTTCTTCTCTGATGGCCCATGTCTTTCCTAAGTGCTCCCCAAGGCCCCCCCA